TGTGGACAGTTTGTGGGTGAGTTTGTGGGGGACAACTGTGTTGAAGGTGGAGCTGTAGTCAATGAAGAGTATCCTGATGCAGGAGTCTCCATTTTCCAGGTGAGAAAGGGAATAGTGGAGGGCAGCCGCGATGGCATTTGAGGTGGCCCTGAGGTCATCCAGCAGGCTGTCTGAGGAGCTGATGATGCTGGTGGTGGTCTTGTACTCTATGATGTGCTGCAGGCCTTGCCACATCTGTCCAGAGTCAGCAGTAGAATAAAAGCCAGCTTCTCTCTGTACTGCCTCTTGGCCACTGTGATGGCTTTCCTCAGTCTGTACTTCGCAGCTTTGTACTCCATCTCATCGCATGATCTGAATGCATGAGAGCGAGCACGCAGCATGTGGCATACCTGACTGTTTATCCAGGTCTTCTGGTTGGTCCACCACCCCTATTTAGCGAGGGGTGTTCTGTTTGGACAAAAATAGCTTCCTTGACTCCTCTCTCAAACCAGCGGTGTTCTCTGGAGAGGGTCTGGACTTCACTGTCCTCGAAAGAATGTTTTTGTTCTTGCAGCAGTCCCTGGAGGTGGACTGCTGTTTCTGGTCCACTGGGGTTGGCCCTCCTGTGTTGGGCCATGCACTTGTGCAGTGGCTGTTTTGTTCCTCAATGTACAGGGCATTACACTCCTGACTACATGTAATTGCATACACCACCTCACTCTGTTTATGTCTGGGTGTTTTGTCCTTCAGATGGACCAGTCTCTGTCACAGGGTGTTCCCCGGCTTAAAGTTGACTGGGATATTGTGGTTGTGGAAAATCCTTTTCAGCTTCTCTGATAAACCAGCCACATAAGGGATGACAGTGTTATCCCCTCTTGTTTCTGGTTTCTCCCTGTTGGTGTTGGGCCTCTTTCTTGCTTTGGTGAAGGCTACGCATCCAGAATTCCCTTAAGGTTTGTGGATACCCCAAGTGGGCCTTGTGTATCAAGTCATCATTTTATTGTTCTACCTCATTACTGGCCCTGAAATGCAACCATCCCAACTTTTTTGGAATGTGTTGCAGCATCATAATTTAAGTGAGAGTTTATTTTGAACAAAGAATAAAGCTGATGAGGTATTACATCAAATAATGTGCTGCTGTACTGCTCTCAGTGTAAAATAGGACACATGATTTACACATCACTAGTTTCAGTTATAATTTTGATTTTACATATTGTCCCGACTGTTTCTGATTTGTGGTTGTAGTTGCCCCAGTCAAACATAAAAAACTCAATGACTTAAAGAAGGTGCTTATAATATTAGCACACTGTGAATTTGTTGACAGTTTTTATCTGGTTTAGTAGTTTTATATGTAGATAGGCAACTAGCAAGCCCTGTTAAAACCTTTTGTAATTACGTGAAAACAGCCTTGCTCTGTATTTACCGTAATTTCTGGACTATTGAGCGCACCTGAATATAAGCCGCACCCACTAAATTTAAAACGAAAAAACAGTTTGTACATACAGTGCCTTGCGAAAGTATTCGGCCCCCTTGAACTTTGCGACCTTTTGCCACATTTCAGGCTTCAAACATAAAGATATAAAACTGTAATTTTTTTTTGAAGAATCAACAACAAGTGGGACACAATCATGAAGTGGAACGAAATTTATTGGATATTTCAAACTTTTTTAACAAATAAAAAACTGAAAAATTGGGCGTGCAAAATTATTCAGCCCCTTTACTTTCAGTGCAGCAAACTCTCTCCAGAAGTTCAGTGAGGATCTCTGAATGATCCAATGTTGACCTAAATGACTAATGATGATAAACAGAATCCACCTGTGTGTAATCAAGTCGCCGTATAAATGCACCTGCACTGTGAGAGTCTCAGAGGTCCGTTTAAAGCGCAGAGAGCATCATGAAGAACAAAGAACACACCAGGCAGGTCCGAGATACTGTGTCAGTCGCCTGACATATTCACTTATGTCAGCATGCTGCAAAGGAAGAGGTGTTGAATCCCTAGGCATAGCAGTTAAAGGACAGGGCATTTTTCCCCTGTCAGGATTTCATGTGGGCCCATTTAGTGATTTAGTTGGAGTGGACCTGAGGTTGAACAATACAATTGGTAGAGCTTCGACCCAGTTAAGTTTCTTGTCTGCGCAGACTTTTGCAAGGCCTTCTTTGATGGTACTGTTTGCTCTTTCAACCAGCCCTTGTGAGGCTGCATGATAAACAGCTCCAAATTTATGCTTGATACCAAACACCTGCTCAACCAAGCGTAAGTCTTCATTTGAGAAGTGTGTACCATTATCAGATCTGATTATTTCTGGTATACCAAACCATGGGATTAATTCTCTTGTG